TATATATATATATAAATAAATATATTTAAATCACGCTGCGCACATGATGGAAAACAAACACACCCACGATCATCAATCTGAGTATGATATAGCCCACCAGACACGCCTCTGCACAGCATGATACGTACTGTTGATATTAAGATGCATCATCGCCATTACCTGTACTGTGTGTAAGACTCAAGAATGTTTAAATATAGTCATGTAAGGGTGGGTGGTGAGGAGGTGTTTGAAAATAGACAGTGTGTGGTGCTGTTTTGGGCCCATATGGTAATGCGGATTTTGTATTAAGTTTGTACAAGTGTTTGTGTGCATGTGTGTGTGTATGGTTATTTGAATGTAAAAGGTCAGGTAGTGATTTTACGCAAAAGAAATGGGTGGTGTGCTTTGAGGACTGTTGGTTTCATTGTAGTGGTCATAATCTGATGAAAAAGCATTTTTCCCGTTTTTAAAAAATTAGTTGTAAGGCTCATCAGCATCACTCTCTTCCTTTCTCTTATTGTCTCTTTAAACTTTATTCTCTCTTATTTTCCAATATTATGGTTAACTCAAATTATAGACTGACGGACACATAAAATGTAAACCCTTGATATGTTGGGAAGAGAAGATATAATCCATACCCAACTGTAGTAGTAATTAATTTAACCTTATTTCGAAAAGTTGTATTATTATTATTATAATATTATTGTTATTGTTATTATTAATCATTGATTATTAAATTATACGAATATGTTACTATTGCCCGTCTCTTATATGACATGAACCCTGTTGTTTAATTCTAAAACTAGATCATGATTATAGTTATAGATTCTAACTTCCTGCTGAATATAATGATGCGTATGAATAGGTTTAGAATTCATTGTTTTGATTTCTTAATTTTGAACGTGTATTTTAGTGCATTAGTAAATTATTTGTTCTTTTAGTCCATTCTCCACGAACAAACAACTATTTATATATATCTCCATTTGAGGGTGTAGATATAATATTACTTTGTTATATTGTTCCTGTCTTTTCATAAGTGTTCAATGAAGTTGAGATCTACTATCACCATATTTTGACCATTGATGTATATTATATAGCGTAAATACTCACAATTTTGACGGTAACGATTGTAATTTTATAGTAGAAGGAAAAATTCTGAAGTAATTGCCTGATAGTGTGATTTGAAATACTTATATGTATTAACCATGGTAATGTTAAGTTTAGTTCATAGTTCAGGTGTAACTAACTTTATGAATGACAGGTGTGAATGTGAAATTTCAGTGGTGGTGACAACAGTAGTGTATGTGGTGGTGGGGATGGTTGTTTGAATTTGAACTAATTTAATTTGGTGTGTATGATATGAAGTCAGAGATAGAGAGAGAAAGGGGGTGGGGGGGGGATGTCTCACTGCGTTCATGAAGTATCCACAGTGTCATATGATATATGCCTGGGTGTGAACTTTAAGAGTAGGCCAGTATTTGTTCTCTTCAAAATAACTACTGTCTTTCCCTTAGAATGACAATTACAAACAATTAAGTTTACACATGATAGTATTGTTTTTCTCTCTTCTCCAGCATTATTGCAGCTGAAAGTTACTGCAGCTGTGACCCCAGTGTGAGATCACTTTGGTGTTCTACTCTGATTTACTGAAAGGGCAGGATTTTGTGCTTTAAATTATATTCATTTGTTAAAATAATACTGTTGGCTGTTGGTGTAAACATTTTAGACAAATTATCTGTCGATTTCAAGAGAAGTATATGATGGTGGTGACCAAAATGTTTGGTGTTCAGCTGGGAATTATATTCTATTGATGTGAAGTGAAGAGGTGCCCTGGTTATGGAATTCTGGACTCGTTGTAATAGTTTCAATTAATGTGAGAGTGAAAACATCATCATGACTTCGTCATCATCCACAAGCTGCGAACCTGGTGATCGCCAGTGGTATTCCTTCTTGGCCTCAAGTCTGGTCACTTTTGGAAGCGGTCTTGTTGTTATAATCATATATCGGATTGTGTTGTGGCTCTGTTGTCGGAAAAAGAAATGTATTCAAGTGTCAAATCCAGTTCCGACAGCAAGAACAACGAGTTTAGATCAGAAGAGTTTTATGAAAAATTCTGATCCAGAAATAGGATGGATGACAGAAGCAAAGGACTGGGCAGGAGAGCTTATTTCAGGACAAACAACAACTGGACGCATTCTGGTATGTTTTTGTTTTACCTGTTTGTTTTTTCTCTTGTTTCAATGAATTAATGTGGAATGTTAATAACATTTTAGACTGCTGTAGAGCATCGGTAATAGAACAAACTTTCTCCTGAGTATAAATTCTTTGCCTCACCTTTTCTAATCAGTGGTTTATAAGAGCTGGGGGTATGCCTGTTTTGTGTTCTGATTCTCCCTCTCAGTGAGAGATAATTATCAGATTTTCTCAGAAAAGGGCTTCCATTTAAATATTGGGGACCTGTGCATGCATTTTGTATGAATTTATTTTGATGCTGTTACTGATGCAATTTGTAAAGAGTGGTACAGTTCAGGCTGCAGCAAGATAAATTTATTGATTGGAAAAACTTTCAAAGTTCCCCGTCTCATTATAATCTCCTGATGCAGCCACTATTAGTGCATGTTTTGTAAACTTAAAGGTATTACTACAAACACCACTTACACCAAAAGCCATAAAAGTCTTCATCTTGTCAGACTCACACTATAAAAGTGGACAACATGAATAATGTTGAAATGTTAAGATTTTTAATTTGCAGTCATGAATTGTGTGATCAAATTGCTCATTTCATTTTTTTGCTTGATATTCTAAATTGAAATCTAAAATGAAAATTTCTGCCTCTCTAATCAAGATGCCATGTGCTGATTTTGGGTTCTCCATGTTAACCACTGTCCCGTATTTTTGTTATTTCAGGTTGGACTTGTGTTTCTGTTGAGCATAGCATCTTTGATTATTTACTTCATTGATGCCTCGTAAGTACCTTAGAAATCATAAACTTGGAAACTTATTAGCTGGGGACACACTTTAATTGCTGGATTGTCAAGAGTACACTGAAGGAAAGAATACTTTAATTACATGAGATACCTTGCTAATATTTCCCTATTTGTTGTCTCTAGTAGTTTCCTAGGATTAAAATGTCAATTATTATATTGAAGGAATGATGGTTCAGGGAATATAGACATTTTAATCCGTTGGTCATGACACAGCATTAAAAAAAAAACAATCCAGAAAAGAACGAGTCTCCACATCGATAGCTCAGAAAAGCAACAGACCTACAAAGACAAAACCCCAACCACCCTTATTATAATCATGGTTCTTGAAAGAAAAGGAAGTGTATTGCAAAGGTCTTGAGTCTAGTACAGTGTATTTTACATGAATATATAGATTTTGATACCGTTTGGATTACATTTACTATTTACTGCCGTCGCATTTCAATGTCAGCACACTATTCACATTGTATGTGTGTATTATTTTTACATATTATATATCGCACTGTTTATTTAAAAGACTCATTTCATCAATACAAAGCATTTGAATAATGGAAGCCTACCCTGTTTCTCAATTCTGATTGTGGAAAGACTGCATCTAATTGCAATGATAATAAATGTACGTCCCACTGTGCTAAGTGGTAAGCTATGTTTTTGTCCCCACAAAAAGCAACGATTTTGTATTCACGTACAGTCAAGTTATTAGAGCAACCAATCAGGAAATTTTGCTGAGAGAGAGGGAGGCAAAGAGAGAGAGAGAGAGAGAGAGAGAGAGAGAGAGAGAGAGAGGGAGAGAGTAGGGAGGAGTGCTGTTGGTCGATACATTGTATTGATTTTTTTTTGTCAATTGGATAATGTGCCCTGGCTGAAGCTTTTCCGTTGGATAGGGTATCTGTCTTTACAAATCTTTCTTTTTTTCCTGCCAGCGAAATTTTATTACCCAGTCCGTATTTTCATGATAATTGTACCCGTTCCAGCAATAAAGTCACATTTATACATCTGAATACTTATTATTACTTCTAACCTAACCAACCCTAAGTTATTTTATTTCAATATTTCTCCTGAATAAGACCTTAATAATAATAATAATGATAATGAAAATAATAATTCTAATTCTAATACATTTCACGTTTCCAAATTAAAAGAAAGAAGATCAACCATAGAGTACACAGTATGTCAACAAAAAAGGTTGGGGAAGAAATTAAAACTCCGGGAGGGGGGGGGGGGTGCTCTCGTAGGTGTGGACCCTATCTTCAAAGTGGCCACCCTCATGCACTGATCATTATTATGTGTCCTTTGCAGTGCAGAAACCTGGAATGCATAGTTAGGTGGGGGTTGGGCCTGCGGTCTTTTTTAAAATCATTTTCAACTTTGCTCGTATTGTGACAGTACTGTAGTAAGAATGAGACTTAATTCATGTTGACACGCTATCAGAGTTGTTCAAAGCGTCTGTTCTGAGGCCGCTTTTTTTCTCCCTTGTTAGTTCACTTCACTATGGCGATGATACTGATAACTATCAGACAAAAGTGAGCATCCTGAAATCCGACAGAGTAGTTCGAGGAAGGTATATCTGAGCTTTTGGATTTGGAGAAGAACATTATTAATGAGGCTGTCAGAAAGTTGTTCAAATATTCTTAAACGGAAAACAGCTTTCTGTTATGAAATTATCTCGAGTCCTTAATCTAACGCAGAGGAATTATACACTTTCTGTAAGTGTAAATTCTGAAAATTATGTGTGTGTGTGTGTGTGTGTATGTGTGTGTGTGTGTGTGTGTGTGTGTGTGTGTGTGTGTGTGTGTGTGTGTGTGTTCTGTGTTCCCTTGGGAATTGCTAGTGATAACGAGCATCGTTCTCACGCACGTGTGTGCCCGGAGTAGCTGGGAGGTTTCCTTCGCTGGATTGCCCTTTTCCAGCTGCAAACAGTCTCATGGGAACTGTATACGATTTTCCCTAATCTCGTTTACATGTTTGTGAATTATGACAAGAATTTCTCTTTAAGAATGTTGTTTAAGCGCGAAAACAAACATTGTCTGAAGAAACCTTTTTTTTAAAAATGCCTGTGCTTACATTGCAACTTGGGGCGAAATGACTAAAATTTTCCAAGCCGCCGTTCCGATGTGACCTAGAACCGTTGGGGCGCGCATGAAAACGGTTTTAATTTGATTTCAGGAGTGCGGTATGCTTCTTTTTTAAAGTTCTTTTTGACAGCCGTGGTAGTGTTAAGCTTGGTACGGTAGTGAAGAAGTTGACATTTTAGGTAGCTCGGTTGGTTACAGCAGGTGCTATGAAGTAACAGTTTCTGAAATAGCTTTCTGACTGCCCTTCAAATTAAATGTTCGTTTTTCTTTGAAGTTAATTATTGGACTGAAGCAAGTTTTTAGAGTTTTTCATGTTCAGTTCGTTGTAAAGAGGGCGCCGCTGGGAGGTGTAACTTCTTTTCTTTCCTTCTATTATTTCTGTCTGTTTGTCTTGCTTCTTCCCTATGTGACCGTTATTGTGTCGATGTGCTTCTTCTTACTTAAACTCAAACTAAGGGGAGGGTTTCTGTCACGTCAAATTTTGTATACTATGAAATGGATTGGCGGGTTGTTATAAAAGGAAAACCAAACAACCGCAGCGCAAACGCTTGCTGTAAAGATGAGAGGGGGAGAGAGAGAGAGAGAGAGAGAGAGAGAGAGGGAGAGAGAGAGAGAGAGAGAGAGAGAGAGAGAGAGAGAGAGAGAGAGAGAGAGAGAGAGAGAGGGAGGGAGGGAGGGAGGGAGGGAGAGAGAGAGAGAGAGACTTCCGCGTCAAAGATTAGGATGACAAAATAAAAAGAAATACGCAATAATGACAACGCGGGAGATAGGAAGAATTTTTCTTGGGTGAATAAAAAATGAGTTTGTAAATATATAGACAGTCAAATGGATTTATCGCACTGACGCGCCGTTACATTGGCAACACTGTAAAGCAAAACTGAGTAGGTTTAAATTGGTTGATGTTGTGTCGTTTTTATTTACCCCCCCCCCAAAAAAAAAAAAAACAACCAAAAAACTTCATCAAAGCTGTTTGTGTTTTGAAGCATTTTTCTTTTTGTTCTTGGCTGATCTAATTTGTTTGAACATGATTCGGTGAGGTGTTGCTATTATTTTTTGGGGTTTTTTTATATTGCTTTGGATTTTTCATGTATGGTTGAGGATTGTTTGAGTTATGCATTGAATCAGGCAACTTTAGGGATCATTTGACAAAACATAAGCGTGCCTTGGTGTTTACAAAACTGCCATAGAGTCTAGAAAAAGGTCTTTGTCTTGCCATGACAGTCCTGCTTTAAACTAGGCCGTTTGATTACTGTCTATGTTCATGATGATGTTAGGCTGTTGCATAAATTTCATTTCTTTGCGTTATAATTTTCAAGGCGGTGTTTAAAAAAAATTGCTTTTGTTGTTTTTTTCTTCATTAATTTCATACCAAGTACATGCATTAGCTACCAAATGTCGTTCATTCTTTTTAACTCGAGTGTTAACCTAAGGCTAATTGTTCCTTGTTCACAAATCAAACTGATAGCTCTTTTTTTGCTCAATATGGAAGTACCACATCAGTCCTTTCTCCACAAAATAGTCTTATTTATCGTCTGGTACTAAAGCCAACTAATATTAAATTCAAAGTATATTATGTTCTTCTGTAGTTGACTTTTTGTTATTGTGTTTATTTATGTAAATATGCTTTGGTCTGTGTGGGTTTTGTTGTTTTTGTTGTTGCTGTTGTTGTCGTCGTCATTGTTATTGTTTGTATGTTGTGTGTTTTTTGTTTGTTTGGTTTTTAGTTTGATTGTTTTTCTAGAGAGGGTGTTTATCCTCATTTAATTTTGTTCCAAGGACTGTGATTCTAACATTTATACACAGAGTTTGTTTCATGTCTATATAGACTAGAGTGTAGGCTGGAGTGCTGTTATACCCACCTTTAATGGACTCATTGTACTCGCCGTTTCTGTTTGTGCTCAGTACCAACACGTCTGTGGAAACCTGCCTTCCCTGGTCTTCCAGCACTACCCAGCAAGTGGACTTAGCTTTCAATGTGTTCTTCATGATCTACTTCTTCATCAGGGTAAGTGAAAAAACACTACTGTGCCCCCC